CGCCAGGCACTGTACAACAGGGACATGCCACTCAACCTTTAAGCCCTAAAACCTGAAACCCAAACCCTAAACCCTAGAATCTAAACCCTAAACCCTTTTCACCTTGAAGATAAGGCTTTGGTATCTTAGGGTTGGTTGAAATCTGAAAGGGTCAGGGTCTTCTGTGTTTGGGAAGTAGGGTTGGCAATAGGTTCTCTGCCATCCCACTTTCTGATGCTTAGTGTTTATTGTTTAGGTTCTAGGGTTTAGGGTTTAGGGTTTAGTTATCCTGATTATTGACCTACTTGCTAAGTTTTCCTGGCCCAGCAAGTAACTCAAAACCGGCCTTGTGATAGCTAGGAATGAAGGACTGCAACCTTATAGTAGTCCCTATATAACCCATTATATTTGTTTCCATTTTCTTTTCTACTCCTTCATTCCCAGCTAACCAAAAGCCCCTCAAACCTCAAACTCCGACCCTTCCACCCTGCCTCGTTTCGTGCCTCCAGAAGCTCGTTGGGGGCTCGCACGTGTCGGTCTGGCCTTGCCGAATGTGAAAGGGGCCAGAAGAACCCCGAGTTTTGGTTACAAAATTCGGTTCCTACGTCAACTTAAAGTTAACTCTCACTGAAAACTGTGCGAACCTTCAGATGCCAGGTTGCCATTGGGAGCTTGCGATGCTTTCCTAATGCCTCTCAAGCCTTGGGTACCCCTGAACACTCCCTACAACAATGACAGAACTCTTTTGGAGCTGCGCTTTTAAAGAACTGCCCCAGTAGGAAGCATATAGGAGTTACGCATTCCTTCCTCGCCAGGTATTAAAGGGAAGCTGTGGCACCCAGTAGCAATCCCTTGTATCAGGGCTCTTGACAAACAGCGCCTCGCGAGTAATGCAGAGCGTCCATGTCTTTCGAAATCAAGAAATAGCTGCTGCGGTCACGCTGCTTGCCTATTAGAAGCGGGCATTGCAGCGACATATTTTCAGGATGGTAGACGGGGTCAGTGTGTGGATTGTGCATGGCGTGTTGTGAAGATCCAGGCCTAATTATTCAGTTCCTACCATGCAAAGCTCTGTGTGTGTTGGTAATGAAGGGCAATGTTCAATAGAATGTTCTGCCCGGAAGTGGGGCCTTAGGGCACACGCTCACCCTGAAGCGACCATAAATGCCGAAGACTGAACTGTCTAATAGGCTCTCTCTGACAACTCTAACTTGTAACCTCTGAACAACTCAGATTACTGTCCACCATGATGGACAACAATTAGGATGTCCTGCGTACACCAGAAGACTGCAGTAAGAAAGGGGGGGTGCTTCTTCTCCATCGCGCATTGCCCAAGGTTTTGCTGATCCAGCTACCTACGATTGGATTGGTTTTGTGGGGAGCAGCACGCATGGCGGAGGACAACCCGATCTAAGTAAATGCTGTACTTACATCGATGATGAACTTGTGATCCCCATAAGCTGCTCTTCTTTGAGATTAGCTTGGGTTGCTGTTAAGGAACATCAGCTGAATTACCAAACCCCCCTGTTTATTACAAAGCAAGTTGTTTGGCAACATCAATTTAGGCTCCTTTGCAATAACCCAGTTACATCTAGGGTCAGGGGGCCGTAGTAAGTAGGATAATAACCCCTATTATGATCTATAAAGTAAGGTTCCTTGTCCTTATCCGAACTGTTAACCTACTTGATGAATCCCCTTAACTCTCCAAGTAGATCTTCCACAAAGGGTCCATGTAGCCAGATCGTAGAATTTTTGGCTCCTACAGTACCATGTGGCAACCCTTGTGGGCCACAAGCATATACCACAAAAGTACACGGACCCTTTGGAGTCAAATGTCTCTTGACTTTCCCTCGAAAGAAATGACGGCAAATGCACACTTTTTCCGCTCAAGTTATGCGCGCGCACGATCCTCTGTCCTTTCCTAGGTCCGGGCATCATCTCTTAACTGCGACATGGTAATTTCTGTAAACTGTGGGACCTCAACATAGACCCTACAATACTACAGTCCTCATCATGGGGACCCCAATATACACCCTACAACACTGTAGCCCTTGTAAGGGGAATCCCAGAAATTTGCAGGAAACCCAATTTCAGGTACCCTGTCTAAGCTAAAAGCTAACCTAGCAACGCATGCTACAAAACGCTAGTGGGTCGTTAGTTGGGTCTTGCCCCCACCCATTAACAGTCTATCATAGGGATCATACTAAGGGCTTTATGTAAGTATAGTGTAAACATGTCCAACTTTCAATGAGTGGGGGCAGCAATTACCCAAGTCATTAGCTTCATCTACTTATCGATAACGATAAACACATGAAAGTAATTACAGGATGTTACCTAGCCATAACGTGGGCTCTACCCCTTCTAGAGTGGGAAAGCTCCACATCTCGTTGCACGCTTGACTTCCTTACAGTAACGGGCTCCACTCTATGAATGAGCTAGAATTCCAGTCCATCACTCACCTACACTACGTGGATGCCAGCCTCTCCCGCAAGAGGAATCCATGGTAGTTCACGTGCTAACGTCGGTGCATGTATGACATGCGCAGTTTGGATATCCATGCTGTATGCAGGCGAGACCTGACATGAACTGCAAGTCTGTTGACAGCAACGATCATGCCAGCCACAATAAACTCCTCAAAGGCGCTTTATGAGGGACTATATAGTCACTACTATAGGGGTTACGAAGTGGGATACTAGGAGTTTAGAGTATAGTTCATGTAAGACAGCTGGGAGGGAATGTTCGGGACAACAGCAGTAGTGCACACTGGCATCACGACCAGCTCTGTTGGGGTTCTTCTTGCAGTTGGGGCACAAGACCGCCATGTACTGCCTTTTACAAAAAGTAAGTCCCCCATTTCAATTTCAATGGACGATAACAAACCCTAAGCCAAGAATGCTCTCGCTAGCGTAACCCCCCCCCCCCACCAAGGAGCGCTGGAACACAACGATTGGATGACATTGCTGATTTTCTGCGGAGGAGGCCTATAGTCAGGCAAGGTGACTACAAACCTGAAGAACATGTAGACCTTGGGTACTGCCCCCCCTCAGTAACAGTTGGATAATTTGTATCATATAGTTATATATAGCCCCGAATAGGATCCCTAATATGGACTGTTACTGGGTGGGGGCAGTACCCAATGTAGACCCTTGAAAGTCGTAGAGCCTCATATCCTGCTTCTGAGCCACAGCGAAGCCTGGGCAAGACGCAAAATCTTCAAAAGCATTTATGAACTTCAGAAGGGGTAGCAATGCAGCACGCGGACCTCAGAGTTTGTGAGAATTTTCCGGCACAGCTGTGCCAGCTACTGTACGTGCACGATTGGCTCCCTGGCACACAGAAGGAACGGAGAATGCCCATAGACCCGTCAAAGCCACAAACAGGAAGGCTCAATGACGTGTTCAAGAACTCATTTAACTTAGATGGGCCCAATAATCCCACCATTTTTGTTATAGGCGATGCCACCGTGGCCACAATCAGGCCAACTCTAGATGCTGGGTGGGGGCATGGCCTTAACGCCCAGAATCTCCGTTGCACGCAATACGGAACATCAAATTTCAAGGAATCATTGTTTGGATTGGTGGAACATCCGGATCTTCATCGCCGGGACATTGTGAACTTCAAAATTTTGGACTCAGCAGCTACTCATGATCACATAAGGCTAAGAGTATTCATAATCATCCTGATGATGATCATAAGAACAAGAATAATGAGCAGGGCATGTCTCAGCCTCCATGATGCTCACCAGGAAGACAGGTATCATCATCCCACTGCACCCAAGTCTAAAGGCTGAAACCCCTCCCCCATGAACAACTTTAGCTTACAGCGTAAGGGAATCTAATCCCTGTATGATAGATGTCCATATCCCCAACCCCTCAACCCTAAGAACCAGCAAGTTTAACCTGCAAAGCACCCTGATGTGAGGTGGTTCCTGCCAGCTCACACGATTGGGGCAGATTGCTCCTGAGCGTGGATCGGCTTGCAAATCTTCTGGACTGCTGAAGGAACTTGAACTAGGTTACGATAGTAACGAAAGCCTGTTACTTACTACATACCCGTAATATGGTAGCTTAGCTTAAGCATCCTTAAAAGCAAGCACAGCCGCCCAGGCTTGGGTGTGGCATGGGTTCAGTGTTTCCCCTTCCTTGGGTGCATATGTCCCGTATCAATATGCACACCCCATTTTTCGCATAGGAATGTTTAGATGTGTGAAGGAACAACCTTAAATACTACCTCCGTACGTTCAACACCCAAAGCCCTTATTCCAGATGCACCCTTCCTGAAACACAAGATTTACAGATCCGGTGGGGGAGAGTTTTGACATACGAAGCCAACAGTGCCGTCATCCTGCATTGGGTTTAGGGCAGCTTAGATAAGCCCGCCTTTCATCCTAGTTGTTCTCTACCATCCCTCTGCAGCAAAGATGCGGGACCCTAAGTTCTAACCTCCCCCAATCTGGAACTCCGTGCAGCCCATATCCATCCAAAAAGGCTATAGTCTTTGCGGGGCCGACTCCCAGTCCCAGTTACATTTCCAGTGACCTCCAGAACGTCTTTGCAGGGCCCTTTTCCATTTCCATGGCGTCTCAGATCCTCAGACCTAATTACACCTCCTGAACGCCTTGAACACTCACCATCCTAAACTCCAAACCCTAAGTAATCTCTCCAGGCCCTACAAACCCGACACGATCTGTATAAATGTACTTCACTGATCTGCTTGAGAAAGATAGCACTCGAATCACCACTTCCGAGCACGCACACCCAATCCATACCGTGGTTTCCAAAATTAGAGATGCGTCTTTGGTCGTCCTCAATGTGATGACGAGTTTGGGGCGTGCAAGGGGCACCTTCTCAAAACATGCATGTGGCGTCACAATACCCCTGCACACCTTTAGAACAAACCACCATCAAGTAAAGACCACTTTTCGACAGCTGACCTTCAAAAATCATGCGGTTCAACGCTTTCTCTCTACACCCCACCCGATCCAAAACACCAAACCCCAAACCTACTTGCAGGTAAGGCTCAGAGCCCTCTTCTTCTAGCTTCCCCTTGGCGTTCACAGGGACGGCATGAAGGCCAGCGTGGAGCAAAACCTGGGCCAGAGCCAAGAACATCTTGCACCACTTAGGATCCCAATCGCTGGGTATTTGGTATGCAGCGTGGCGCAAGATTTCCTCCATCAACAGTATGGCATTGGTGGGCCTTCTTCTAGCCATCAGTAAGGCATGCAAGAAAACAAAACAACCCTTTCAAATTATGGAGGTCACCCTAGCTGGTAAGTTTCTGGCCCAAACGAAGTCAAACATGCAAATTTAAATGCAGTAGGATTACTGTCCCCCAAAGCCTGAGCTTCTAACTTACTGGGCATCCCCTCTCTTGCCCAAGCAAACTAGACAGTTTTAGGCCCTTGAGGGTCGGAAGCTTCTGCTGGGACCTTTGAGCCCAGGACCTGGGTTTGAAATCCATGTCATGGTTCAGAGTTTTGGGTTTTAAGGGCTTCAGGGTGGCATTCTGGGCTTAGAAAGCAGGATGTGGGGCTGCGAGGAGCAAACGCTAAGCCGCTAAGTATACACTCATACCCATATTCCGAAGGAACTCCTAGGCAAAATCATCGCAACAGAAACATGGACCGGCTGCATATCGCGGCAATGCAAAATCCTATAGACTAGTTACCAAACCCTTTTTTAGGACATCCTAACTACGGTTGCTTTCTCTCTGGAATCTCCCAAAAACACGCAACAAAACCCAACCTGCCCCAGGCCCAGGGACAAACATCAACGACGCGCCGATGATGGCAAAGATCATCATGCGGTAGAAGACCTGAGCTTAGTACATAGAGCTGGCAATTTTTTGCTGATTTTTCTTGTGTTTAAAAGAGTTCCTGAATGATTCTGCACTTTCCACGACGAAGGGTCCAAGGCGGCACATTCCAACTAGGTGCTCTGCATGACCCAAATTGGAGACTCACGTTACCCTCACCTGTAGATACTTGCATGGAGCTGGCAGGCTGATGAGGACCACCTCTATGTTAGTAAGGGGCCTCCGGGCCCAGTAATGTAAGCTACTTTTTTCACAACGGCTGTAGCACATGGGGCCCAGCCTGACATCTTTGTTTGGGCACTTTTATCTGGGACTATGGGCTCCTGCGGTATGCCGGATATAGGCACAACAATAGAGTCGACTCGTGGGCACGTGGACCCTGCGAAGTCTTACAGGAAGGCCGCCGCAAGGAACAGCTGTTTCAAGCTGGCTTGGGAATCACCACCCTACCTCCACCCCACCCCGCGAGGCGCCCCTGTAGTTCTGGCTGAGGAGCTGCAGCAATCTCATAATGATCCGAAGTCTTTGAACCAGAGGTGCATCGTGCTACTTGTCTTTTTGCACTGGTACCTGCGCAACTACTGCATCTATGTGATCCGCTGAAATTGGTTGCCCATGTAGGGTGGCTTAGTTTGCAGCTGGGCTATGCTGTTCATGCACAAACAAAGAGGGAATGTCAGGACTTTGGACAGGTCTTATGACCCCAAAGCGCCAAGCCATAACTTCGGGATGCCCTGAGCACCTGAAAGTCTCAAACACAAACCGATCTTTTGCGTAAAGCTGCCAAGACCACAAGGGCGTTCAGCGAGCCCAGTGCGTAGATCAGGTGACCTGCTGCTTCCAAGAAGCGGTGTCGGATTCAGGGCTTCATTGCGGGCAGTTGAAGGTGTTCATGCCGACCGCTTTGCAGGTTGCGAACAACTGATGCTACTGATGGCTTGAGGCATCTGCGAGGTTTGAAGGCTGAGAATGTTACACCCTTAGCCCATGTTGAAGAACAATGAAAGATCCAGGCTGCTGCACTCAACATATTATATTCACGGCGCTTGCCACAATGATGGCTCCTATTTGTCCCAGGACTGCTCGAAGGTTGTTAGCCTTCTGGTCAATAATGGGTGTTTAAGAGTGGGTGTTTTTGAACGTAGGTCTTGTTACTTTATAACTCAAGGTTAAAGGTTATCCACTGAGCAGGTAGGTGAGTAAGAGCTTACTCAACTTATTCAGGGCCCTGACCGCGTGGTAAGTTTGCCAAGCTGCGCTTGGTGAGCAGCGCGTTGGCAATCTGCAGTCTCATGTGGTTCGGCCGGGTGAGCAGCCCGTACCTGCTTCGACGCAGGGCTATAGGAGGAACAAGGCATCGTGGTTGGGCCGGATATGGATTTGTCCAAGACTGGGGGCTATGCACGCGCACACACACAAGCATACCAGCAACGACGAGAAGCCTTGTTTGGGCAAAGTGACATTTGGGTATGTCCACATGGCTACGTCGACTTACAAGAGTCACACTGACCGGAGTTTATCTGAATGAGGCTGGCGGCTATTAGAGCAACACTGTGCGTCTTAAAACTGGCAGAAGTGCCAGGCCCCAAAAGCAGCCAAGGGACCAGAGACCTGAGAAAACGCATACCAGCACCAACAGCTGCCTCAGCTTTGAGGTCTAGGGCCCCAGACAAAGGGATAGAATGCACTGCATACGCAGGCTCGAGATTGGACACCTACAATCTCAGACAAGCGAATCATGAGTCCTGATCATGCAGCTTCCTGAGGCTAGTGAGTGAGCTATGTCCGCATGAGCTTTCTGCCTGAGTAACTCAATGACAATCAAGATTAGCACCGACGCCGTCATGCATGTTCGCTACCACCATATGTCACTTTATTCGACTTTGATAGTGCATATGTGTATTGCTGAGGAAGTGTGCTCCCATAGCTACCCTTTGCTCGTAAAGTTCTGTCGTCAAGAGAAGCTGTTTGGCGATGCGTTGCCAATGTATCTGTTGCAAACCTTCTGTGGCAAATGTCTCGACTAGTGTATAACAACCTAACAGTCCCAATAGATTGGCGA